CTTTTGAGCTGTTTGATTGTAATTTCTGTTGGTCATGAGATCAAAGCGAATTTGTCACTGACCCAATATTGAATTTTAGATTATCTGGCTTATATTTAACTTTCTGATCTAAAAACTATAAAATTTGTAATGAGTACTTGAAATAGACTTGGATGGATAAAAGTGAAATCAACAACAGCCTTTTGTCATAGTGAACTCTTATGGGTTGGAGTTCAGAAGTAAATACTTTACTTACCATTCCTCCAAACTGCGTCTCCTATGTTCTAACTTTTTATTTACAAAGAAGCCATTTTAATATCGAAATCGACCCACTCAACTTGATAAGCCCAATAAACTGCCTACAATTCACCAATGCTATTCAATGCACTGATTGCTGTGTCAATGTTGAAGTTAACTATATCTCTCACCATCACTTCCTTTCCATGTATGTCCCATTCAACTCATGTGGATTAGGTATGGAAACAGTTCATTAAATACATATATCACTGCTACCATCTTCTTCGTTTAAAATTCCATTGTAACTTCTCAGAATCATGAGAACACGTTGTTCCTCTCCTGTTGCTAGATCTGCAGATCAAAGACATCTAGAGGGTACATTCGCTAACTACACTTGTCAAATATAATTGATATAAAATAAGAGCAAACGAATGTCATTTTTTATCCATTTGTGATATATTAATGAAGATGGAGATTATGATAACCTCCTGCAACATACTTCAGATTTCTGAATTGATTTCAATCTTTAATTTACGCACAAAAGAAGTCACGAATTTCCAAATTTTTAAGTTCAAAATGAGGCTGAATGCAAGTTATAAGTGGCTATAAGGTTCCGATTGCCCTACAATTTTAGCATAAAGTAGGTATTAGACTTTTGTCATAATTCGGTTAGGTGATATCATGCCGTTAGATAAAGAAATGCTACTGAACATTAATAAGTAGCACTAGTCAGAGCGATATGAGTTTCTGTAAAATGCCGAATAAAAGTAGAGTGAGAATAACAGAGTTGTTTCACTCAAATCTCACCTCTTTCCATCACTCATTCTATACGTATCATCGATTTTAGATACGATCAATAAAATCGTAATCAAAGCAATCAAAGTGAGAAACTACCTGGAATAAATAGAAAAATTCGAGGAACTCACAATGTTCAAAACAATTTAATTTTTTCTTTATAATTTTATAATAGCAAACAAAAGTGGAATGCTTACACTTGACCTAATTTGCTGATAAGTTTAGGTTTCTTGAGTCCATTTAACAAACCCAATTCATACCATTATGAGCAAGTTGTGAAGTGAAGAAAGTTCTCTAAATGTAATGATATTATAACTCAAAAGTTTTAGCACTTGTAAGTATTTATAATATTCATTTAAAATCACATCAACTGCATGACAATATGTCAACTTAGTGTTTACCAGATAATATTCCTTATATAGTAACACAGTCAGCTGTTGACAAATAGTTTATTCTTGAGCTAGTGTTCTCAAGCGAACATCAGAAAGTAGAAGGAAAGAAGTCGTCCAATGGGTGGCCAATGTTGGCCGTCAGGTGGAAGAAAAGCCTATTTGAATTTAAAGTACACCCTACAACGAGATACACATTTCGTGCTGCAATACTACAATCAAACAAGAGTTGAACGACTGGTCGTGGTAATACTTCTGCTAAAAAACACAATTATATTTTAATTGTTAGGTCTGTGGCGTGATGAACAAACAGGCATAGCTCAGTGTGTGTGTGTGTGCGTGAAGATAAAGAGTTTATTTTGTAAAAAAGAAGTAATACACTCCCACACTTTCAATGCTAATATGCCAAAGCATTTCTTATTATGTGAAAATCGATTGATGACTTTGATTCTATCAGGGCTCTTGGCAAGAATAAATGCGTGAATAATTCAATATACACCTCCTCTCCTATCAAATGAGAATGTTTCTGTAGAGTAAAGCCATATGTGTTTGATGAATTTTCAGGTCAAGTATATCAATTTAGACATTCAGTTGCTGACAAGAAACCATTCTCTCATGACCCTTTGCAAGCACTGTGGCAGGTGAAATGGAATATTTTTTGGTTTTTTGCATATTGCACAGTTTTGTGGTATTGAAAGTCGTGAGTGTTGATTTTAATCAGTGACAAACCAGTGTCAGCTTGTGCACAGGAAGCTCTGTATGCAGAGAATAGAGAGGTGTCACTGCTGTCAATTAAGGGAAATGTGTGCCTAAATTGGTCAGTTTCGATCATGGGCAAGTTAGAGCCACACATAATGGTATGTGAGTGTATGCGATTCACACGAAAATAAGCCAATGATGTAGGGGCTCACTAGAGCCTTAGGCGAAAGGAGGGAATTGACTGAGTTGAAATGGAAGTGAACCTAACGAATAAGATTCGATAAAGAAATTGGAGAAATTACTAATATTTTTGCATGTAAGTCAAACAGGGTAGTGAAGGCTACAAACGGAAAGAATTTCATTATCTGGACAAAGCCTGCTTTTAAATTGTTAACTCCATCTTTGAACTGATATTATATCACCTGAGGTGAATTCTGTCTTCCCATTGCATTTTGTCATTCATGTGATTACTCAGCTTTGCTTCAGTCAAGAGATGTTCACCTTTTCTTGCAGATTGAGCAATTAAAATAACCTGTTTGATGAAGAAGGCTCCTTTTCCATCTTAATTCACAGCCATTGTGCAAAGAAGAAAAACTTAACAATAGGAATTTATGTAAATTTTTGCCTGCCAATTAATCAAATGAGGCCTATGTTGTGATGAATTTTTTTCTTTTTGTTGTTTTGTGAAAATTTCACACTGCAGAAAATTGTGAGGTGGGCAGTGGGTTTATGAGGTCACAAAGACTACAGATAATTCTAACAGAATTCACATTTGGTGTTCACCCTGCACAAAAGCGGAATTGGACCACTGCAAATGGGTTTTAAAAAGCACTTTTGATTCAGAAAAGTTGTAAAGGTTGAAAGGGGTTGCAAGCGATTGTAACGAGCCTCTTCTGAAATACATGATTGGTAAACGAAGTAAGTCAAGTACATCAACTTTCCCATTTAGTTGCTGACAAGAAGCCATTCACACCTGACCCATTGACAAACAAGATGTCAGATAAAAATTGAATTGTTTTCTGCATTCTGCATTTTATGCAGTTCTATGCTATTACAAGTCGTGAGAATTGATTTAAATAAATAAAAAATCGTTTTACCTACAAAATCATCATTTGTGATTGTGGAACAGCAAAAAGCGTGCTCCTGAACGAAATTGTGCTGAAATACAACAGTTAATTCAATTTAATTGAACTTTGCTAGGAGACCGAGATCTGACTTTTGAGTTGCCTGATTGCAATTTCTGTTAGAAATTGAGATCAAACCAAATTCACCAATAATCAAAGATTGTATTGATGAATAATAAACTTAAGTTTAAATAAGTAGTTAGAGAAGTTGAAGCACTGTTTAATTGAATTTATGTAATTGACTTGAATTATTGGACAGGAAACGTATATTCCTTCGCTATGATATCAGGTAGAATCAACTATTCTATCAGATCAAGATATGCTAAATCTATTGGCAAATTAGCATTGAAGTGAGTAGACTGGATTAATTTGCTATGCGTGCAAATTTCTCTCCTTCTCACCGAACCAAAGTTAACCTCTTTATCAAAATAGTAGCCTAGTGGAGAGAAGAGAGATGATGTGGAAATGAGGTGATGTGACAAACTGTCGTGGAACACTGGATTATTCTGAGCATTGTGATAATTAGCAAAAGGGAGGTCTGAAGATGATGTGTAACCACAATCAGTCACTCAACTCTGGTTTGATCGAGGTATTGCAACACAATGAGATATTCACCTCGTTTGATGACTGTAATTCATCCTCGTGATGGCCAATATTAGCCGTTTCCCTCTTGGTGAATTATGAAGGTGTGGAGCTTGAGATGCATCAGTTAATTCAACTTTAAGACTAGCGGCACGTTCAGCGGTGATATTTTAGATAGTGGAAGTGCAGGATGAGTCATTATTGGTATTATTGCTCATAGAAATGTACTGAGTGTGTGGCTTTGAACTGTGGAAGGCAAATGAGTTTAGTTGCCAAAGTGAATAGGAAGGTATCGAGATGATGTTGAGAGCAACTTCAGGGTATGAAAGGGTCTTGGTCAAATCGAATCACAGTAGTTCACGCTTCACAATCCAGGCTTCATGTGTTGTGCCGAAGTGGAGGTAATGTTTGTCTACGTTGGCCAAATTGTGACGCAAAGTACCAACTTCTAAGAGAGGTACTTTAGATACCATTTTGGCGGATTCGAAATCACTAGCATTTGTGCCAAATAACATGCTATTTTGCTATGCACTCATGGGGTCTGCCATAGACTTACCTCATTGGGTAGCGTAAACTCATGGACAAAAAAGCCTTTAAACAACCAGTTGACCACTGACCCGACTGTATGACATATTTGACCACTTCCGCAGTAATCATCTTATCTTTCATCTGCCTTTGTTCCTTTTACATCTGTGAAGCACTCATCTGTTTCCTCTCTCGTCAATTTCCCTCTCAGATGTTTCTCCTCTCTGTGGGGTCCGAAGTCAACTAAAATGCTAGCGATAACTAACAAGACACCTGCAATTTGATATAAATAAAATAAATACTATGCACTCAAAGTTAAGCACGAAATGAGTCTTTGATTCCTTAAATTAGTGCATTTATCGGATCTAATAACTAGATATGGTGCACTCAGCTATTAAGACGGTAGAGAATTCGATGACATAGTGAAGACATACTTGAGCATCAATTTTTGGTCATACTTAGAAACATGTAGAGATTATCAATTTTGAATCCAATTAGGTCGAACATATGCCCTAAAATTGCTTCAAAGATGGAGTTTACAATTTAACGGACTTTACCCGACTGATATAATTAATTAGTTCTGAAGCTTTTTCCAGCCTGGTGGTGATACATATGTAAAAATTAATTATTTTTTAAAATTCTTTAGAGGTGTTTATCACTTGCTTCACATATGTCAAGTGCGTTTCAAAAGTTGAAACTCAGCAGAGCATGGAAGGCCAAACAAAAGTATCTGCAACTGATGTCTGCTTCTAGTGGCGCTCAGTGCAGTGAGGTGAGTTGGGTTGGCCTCGTCATATGAGAAGACCTATTTAAGTGGAGAAGACGTAGGCGTTCTCCAGTATTATTCTTCCAGATCACGCCAACTATGCCCTCTTGGTTCTACTCTCTCCTCTTGGCAATGGTTCAGATGCAGACAAAGGCACAAGATGGTGAGCAATGCTTGATAGATTTTCACTTATAACCAAATTGTTATGTTGATTACCCATTTCCATGAACTTTTGTTGACCTTGTGCCTAGGCTCGTTGGTCCGTTAATACGTGCGAAAACCAGACAAACTGATATAGATTCGCAACTATCTGCCTAAAGTAGTTAGCTGAGACTTGTTGATAAGTATTTTATCATAGCAAATCTGTACAATTGAACACATTTACATGATATCACATATTTTTTACTTTAGTTGGCAAGTATAAACCAATGTGCACTGGAATTCGTCTGTTTAAGCCCAACGAAGCCCGACTCACATGGATCCCACCAGTGGTGAAAAATGAAGAAATTCCAAGTTTTAGAGTTTTCTACTTTCATGATGGTGCACTCTTAATGACACTCACCTCTGAAAACGTATTGGAAATTCCCATCAATGAGAACGACACTATGATCAGAGCAATTGTGAGAACTGTTACCAAATCCGAAGTTTGGACAGATGAATACAAAGAGGACCCGAATGAATGCAAATTCAACTCGAAACGAAGTGATGACACTATTTTTCGTGTTATTCAATCTTTTAAAATATGCCTCATTATTCAACTATACTTGTTTGACAGAAAGGTTATTTTGCTACCGCCACAACCTAAGTCATTAATGAAAAATGTTGACAGTTGTTTTTAGAATGACATTCACTCTCTCATTCATTCATTGACTCATTAATTCAAACATTAATTCAGCAAGGAAATAGCCTTTCATAGATTAGTTAGGTAGCAGGTGAGTCAGTTAATGAGGCAATAGGGAATTTCTATTGACGAATGGAAAGTGGAGGAATCAATGAGTGTACGTGAGGAAGTCTCTGAATTTTACTCAGGTGCACCGGAACTACTCCATGTTCACACACGACAGAAGTAATGAATTTTCATATCGATACCACTTAGCGCATGTACTCATGAACATTATGCAAGAGTAGAAGTAAATAATCATCTTCTTCTCTTCCCATTTTAGTCGACCTTTTCCAACACCAAATACCTGATCCTGACATTGGGGGTAAGTATTTTTCTTTAACTATCAATTATTTTCTCAAATTAATTGTTTATTTAGTATTTCCTATTTACGGAAGAAATGCGAGTAGTAATTAAGAGCAAAAATCTAGAAGTTGAATGTGTTTGCCTATTTGTGGGTAATTATGATTAGTTCAGATATTGTAATAGGAGAAGATATGAAGCTGACAATTGTAGCAAACATCATAGCAAAAACGTTCAGTTGAACCGATGAGGCCAGAATAGAGTCGATTGAATATGATATTGAGAAAGAATGTCTCTTTTGATGACTGCATTGTTTGCAATTCCAAATGAAAGATTTTATTATGATGTGGTGGAATGTATTACTTTTGACTCACAAGTTTAGAAATCTTGAGAGCTCATGTTCATTACAATTTCTGAGAACTAACTTAGTTGGGTTGATTGCCATATAAATGCATTTGGAATATCAGAATCATCAGTATATTTCAAATATTATATTAAGTAGCACAGAGTCGGAGGGGTAGTTTGAAAGAGTGTCAGAGAAGTGAGAAATGACTGTGGGCTCTGGCAACATAGAAGGTGAATGGTAGATTAAAAATGTTAAGGAAAATTTGAATTATACTGAACGATGCAAAATGATGCAAAACTGAAAACTGCTAACAGAAATTAAAATGCTTGATCAAGTAGAGAAAATCAAAAGTATGCAGAACTGAAATTCAAGGCAACAGGAGACATTGTTCGTTTGACTCTGAGGGCGACTGGAAATTGGTGATAAAATAGTTTGAATCCATTCGCCTTGCCTGAGCAGGGCTGAATGAGAACTCTGCCTACTCTCCTCCTCCTGTACGGAATTAAGTAGTGAGACCAGCCAATAGCATTAATGACTGTGAATAGCTGCAAATCGATAAGTGGTCTCTTATCTCACCAACCACCACTCTGCCCATATCGCAAATACAAATTTGAACTAATTTACATATAACCTATTCATTAATTACAATAGATATCCATGCTCCAACAAACATTACTTTACTTCCTGCTAATGAAACTACCGTTGAGGTAACTTGGCAACATCCAGATTTGGACCCAACAGAGATACACGGTTATCAGATTCGTTACAGCTACGGTAATGGAATCAATACCACAAATGTAACAAAAGAGGAATTTCATCTATCGTTGCCCATCGAAGAAGATGCTAAAGGCATCGAAGTCAAAGTTGGAACGATCAGAGAGATCAAACCTATAAACAATGAAGTTCACGAAGGTAAATTTGAGTTTTTTTATTAGTAATCATTGATATTCACAAACAAATGTGCATACTATTGCTATGATTATCTCCATAATAAATTAACCAGAATGGACTATGAGTCGTTCTTCTGGAAAATCCACATTTGGGTATAAGGGTCCTACGTTTTAAATGAAATAAAGTGAGGAGTTAATGCTGCTTCAAATAATGTGTGCTTGATCTGGTGAAGGGTTTGTGCCAATTACTTCTCTTAGAATTCCTGGTCTGAACACCTGAAGATGTCTTGTAAATGTGTTCTTGGAGGCAGGATTGTAATTAACCAAACCATTGAAGATAACTAACATGCTACTTAAAAGGCAATAAGTAGAGCTGTTGGAAATCACTAGTCGGGTGATTGGAGTTGACGCTCTGTATGGCTTCGTCATTTAAGAAGCTGAATGGCTAGCTCCTGTTTAGTAAGAGGTACAGCTATTGGCGATGTACTAATTGGAAGTCATGCTGTGTTTTAACCTTGACAGCAGAACAGAAGTGGAAGTGGAAATGAGTGTCCCTTCTGATGTGAACTCGTACTTATCGTGTTTACTTTTATTTTTAGTTCGGACATTATCGCCAGAAAAGAACGTGTCTAGAGAAAATTTTGCGTTGCACTATTCCAAGACCATCTTTCTTCCACTTACAATGGATGGCAAGTTTGAGTTTATTATGGTCTCTTATTTTAGCACAATATTAAGTATAAAATGAAATGATGGGGGGGGGGGCGAATAATTAGAGGCTAAAATAACAACGCACCTGATTGGTTGCAGGTTGTTTATCAGGTGCTTCACATATGTCATGTGCGTTTTACAAATAAAACTCGACAGAGTATGGATGGTCAGACAAAAGTGTCTGCAACTAATGTCTGCCTCTGTGACGATCAGTGCAGTGAAGTGAGACCAGTAGTAAAGAGATGGACCAAGATGAATTGGCCTTGTCACGCAAGAAGACCTATTTAAGTGAAGAAGACGTAGGAGTTCTCCAGTTTTATTCTTTCAGATCACGCCAACTATGTCCTCTTGGTTCTTCTTTCTCCTCTTGGCAATATTTCAATTGCAAGCAAAGGCACACATTCGTGAGCACTGATTAGCAGATTTTCACTAATAGCCAAATTGTTATGTT